AATCGTTGATCTGTTTCGTCTGAACCCACACTGATGATCCCCAATAATTTCATTCGCATCTGGGGTTAATCTTGCCAAAAGAATGTTTGATAGAATTTTGTATGAGGTTGACAGCAGCGAAATTACCACACTCAGTCTTGTCCCCCTTCTTATGAATAGGAATAATTATGGATTCCTTCCATTGCTGTGGCATCTCTTCCTTATCCCAAATTAACTGAATAAGCTTATGGATCCTCATATGCAACCCTTTGCCACCTGCTTTAATTAATTCGGCTGGAATCTGATCAATTCCTGGAGATTTATGACTTTTCAACTTCCCAATCGCTAGTTCAACTTCATCTAAACTAGGTTCTGGCACCAACAGTTCAGCTGTTTGTATTTCAATCTGCCCATAAACATTTAAGAGCCGGTTAAAGAAATTTTTCCACCTATTCAAAATTTTGTTTGGATCTGCAAGTAAATTGCCATTATCATCCTTCACCTAATTAGTCAGGTTGATACCCTTTCTTAAATTCAATTTTGCCTCTGTACAGATCTCTAATATTTTTGTCCTTAATATTTGTCTCAAGCTCAATAATTTTGCTCTTCAGATATTCCCTTTTCTTAATTTTGACGGACGGCTTTGTTGAACCTTCGAGCTCCTTAGCTCAGCGACTGTCAAATGTCAGGGAGGACTTTCGGCTGCGCACAGCACAAGGAACGTGTGAAACGCGAAACATAAAAAGGAAGGTGGGAATTGAATGCCATTTCGTGTTTCAGGATTTGAATACTTGGGCCCTGGACGATGCGGCCACTTCACAACCAGAACGACATTAGAAACAACTCCCATTCCATATGTGAAATAGACATCAAAGTAGAGTTCGTTATCTGTCTAGTCTTAAAACGTGTTTATGAAGAAGCAAGTTAATAGATGTCGAATGACTGTACTGTGTGTTCTTACATTGAAATATATACACATAACTTACATATACAAATAATACAGTCAGATAATTAAACCTAGACCCTTTCAGCACATATGGATCAATAAGCCCTGGTTTTGTCAGTGTCTTATCCCATTGACTTCTGAATGTTTTCACTTACTTTTGGTAAATTTTATTTTTAAGAAACTGTCAGTCGATTCCTAAGGCTGCGATGTCATCAGTATTAACCAGACTTTGTCGCCCTCCAAAGAAAGGTTACCTTAAAATTCAAGTAAATTCCACTGTATCACCAACAGAGTATTTAATTTTACAATCAGTTGAAAATGATACAGACGTTTATACAGCTGTAATTTAGCTGTATCTTGAAAAAGTACTAAAGAATACAGAGTGAAATGTTGAATTTCTTCACATCTCCTGAGAGAACCTAACCAGTAGCCTAGAACTTCCATCTGTTCTTAAAACTCAACGAGACTCCATGTCTGTATTACTCAACACAATTTATAGGAACTAGCGATGGAAGTAATTTGTGTGCCTACCAGAACTGACTGGCGAAATACCTAATTAAGTAAGTGAATTGTAACTAAGTTGCATTTTCCTGCATCAGAAGATTAAGTCAGCCGAAGGTCCTTCACCGTCCATCTTAAGCCTCTTCAGTGCGATGCCATTGCTTCACGTGTTTCCCCAAGACCCGTAGGCCTTCGTCTAGGTTTTGGAAGGAGAACATGTTAATTAACTAATAATGTGACGGGTATTTTGGAAAGTCAAAGGAGCTGCTGCAAGTTGCATATGAATTTATTGGTCTGTGTCACTTTAATTTTTGCAGGAGTCTAGAAGTTTTGCTGGCTGTAGAGACACCGCAGTAGCGCGTTCTCACTGTTATCTCAAGTATTTGGAGATTCGTTACTATGACTACATGTGACAATCGTGCATCATCTGATAGGCTACAGTAACAGATTCGTGGGATTCTTTGTTATGCCACGTGTGTATCCGCCTCCTTTCCACCCTGACACATCCATCACACGAGCAGAAGGTGCGGAAATCGGCAAATGGGAACGTGGTTTTTAAGCCGACAGCAATTTCAAAGCAGAGCTGGGGGACAGACGACAAATAAGAAAAATGCTTTTGTTTACACGGGTAAATGTTTCAGCCACAGATTCATCTGCGATGAAAAAATTAAAACATCAGGAAGTCGCCTATGAAATTAATTACTCATGAGGTAAAGACGGTTTTAATGGAACTTATTCTTTCCTGTTACAATTTCATTGCCAAGATAACCTAACTTATTTTACCAGGCCTCTCTCTGTATTTGGTTATGTTTTCCGGGCGTCTGGTACGAGTCCTGCAGGCCGATGTCAGCATTCGCCTTCCTTCAACACGACGTGGTCTGAAACGGAACGTTAAATCAGCTGTGTAAAAAGTTTCACAAACATTTAACTACAAGCAGACGGGAGCGCCGTTCAGTTGTGCCACGTTAGGGTTTATTTCTTTCGCTTTGGGTGTTCTGCTTCATTACGAATTTTCAGCTTCCGTTTTTGTGTAAACATTTCGGCACAGGACAAAGAGGTTACGTAACTTTCCTTTTTCCAAGAATAAGTAGGCACCGCTTCTGTTGTCCGTACTCACATCTGGTTGACTCGCAGTTGGCGAGCTCGAATTGGCATCTGTTTGGGAAAGTCTGCATGACCCCAGTCTCGTCCACTGCACACACTGGTTTGTATTGCTCGTCGCATACGACGAATTCGCACGGCATCCAACGGGACAGCGGAGTCGCTGTTGCTACTTTTACAGCCAGCAGACCTTGGCATTTAAAAATTCAAAATTATTATTAATTTTTGCGACCCCCGAGTTAATTAAACAGATACGAGTCCTGTTTCAGTTTCCAGCCAAACGAACGAGGGTCTTCGGACAGACGTTGGCATGAACCCTAACAGGTCACTGGGACGCTGATGATGGTTACAAATGTGCGCGTTATTAATGCGTACATCAGCTCAGTCATTCGTGAGGATGCAAAATTGTGTTCTTGTGGAATGTGTGTGAATGAGAGAGAACTTATTTTCCACCTTCTCCAATCCAACAGAATCGGTCACACGTGTTGAATATTGACGGAAACTGAGAGAAGAAGATGCTATCATTAAAACAGCATAAAAATGTGCCCATTCTCAAAACGTTTGAAGCCGAACTCGAGGGCTGCTTATGGACTCCTGTTTGGGGTCCAACTCGCGTGCTTGTGGCTGAGCTAGACGACACGAAAGTGACAAGTCAATGAACCACCTCAATGTAGGTCAGTGGAATGGATTGCATCACACCGCCGTTGTGTGATGACGTCGTTAAATTACACAACAGTGCGCATGACCGTCCGCACGTTTCACCCTTCAGATCATCAACGGATTTTGATTGCGTATTTCGTGATGATCCTGGCCTGAGAGACCCGGCTCGGTTTTGTGGCCGATAGGCGTTGGATTCAAAGTGCGTGGAGTTTGTATTACGCAATGCTTTGTCCAGTGTGACAACGGGAAACTTTTATTTGAACGGAAAGTGTCTCTTGGGATTCCGGTATACGCAGGATTCGGTGTTTGCACACATTTAAATCACAGCAAGATTTGGTTACGAAAATGTGCGGGCAGATTTTTTCATTATTCAAAACGAAATGAACCCCAAACTCGTGCCACTAGAACTTACATGTCACAAGCAGAGCTGTCGTCTGTCTCATGATGCTGGTATCACTTCCAGGAAACTGCTTCTCTCTCGTTGACGTCCACGAACATAATGTGTATCTTTCCGGAAGTCTGTGGTCCGCTGTATCGCTCGCCCGTCCATCTACGACTATCACTGACTCCGCCTCATAAATCACGGGTTGGTAAAGCTCCAGAAATTTTCCGGCATAACGTGAATTAAGTATGGAGATGATTCACCACGAGGCATAGAATAAACATCGCCGGATCCACGGTTCTCCGGTTTCATCCAAGACAGACAGGCCCCCCCCCCCCCG